GCCGGCGGGCGCTTTGTTCCGGGGCTGGAGGTGTGGCCGGCGGTGTGGCCCGCTCGCCCTGCTGCGCTGCACTCGGGCGCCCGGCTCTGGCTGTGCGTGGCCTCTACCCCAGCCACCCGCCCCAGCACAACGGTGTGCGGTGAAGTCGCTCGCCACCCGGATCTCAGTGGGGGAGGGCCTGGCCACCGCTCAGACAGACTCCTTTGACTGTAGTCACCCCGGGGTTCCTCGGTTGCCCGGGTAAGGACTTGGCGGGGAGGTGGGCGACGGGGTGGTGGGGCTCTTCTGGCTTAAAATGGCGTTAACCAGGGTAGGGATCTGCCGGTGGGGTGGCACATTCGTGAGAATAATGAAAGACAGCTTGCTTCATAAACAACTCTTGACTGCGCCCTGGGTTCGGGTTGCTGGGGCTCTGGTCACAACTGGGGCCTGCGCTCACACACTGAAGTGACGCGGCCCGGTGCCCCACCATGTGTCAGGCTCAATGCCAGCTCCTGTCCCACCCGGAAGGTAGGGGCACAAACTGAGTGACAGCCCAGTGTGGTCAGTCAGAGAACTCAAGAGACCCTACTCAAGGGTAGGAGGTCCAGGAAGACTGTCTAGAAAAGCAGATGTGAGCGGGGCTCTTGACATCTAGTTAGAAACCTCTGCAGAGCTGAGGTGGCCTGGGGCTCGGGACGTGTAGTCTGGAGAGGGGACAAAGACAGTTTCACCTGGGCTCTGACCTAAGCGCTGGTGGCGGGGAACCTCTTCGGGCTACAATGGTTTTTGCTCCTCTGGACCAAATTAGAGAGAGTAGACGGATGGGGCTCAGAACTGTGGCCTCTAGAGGTCTGCCTGGATGGAGGGGGTAAGAGAGAAGACTTAAAAGCAAAGTGTACAAAGACGGGGCGCTTGGGGAGGATTTGCCCGTCTTCAGATAGGGACCCACCAGAAAGATGGTATTTATGGTGGTATCCAGAAAGGAGGACATAGACAGACAACCTACCCAGGACCGAGTCAAAGAAGGCCTGTTGTGTGTGTGTGTGTGTGTGTGTGTGTGTGTGTGTGTGTGTGTGTGAGAGAGAGAGAGAGAGAGAGAGAGAGGGAGGGAGGGAGGGACGGAGGGAGAGAGAGAGAGAGAGAAAGAAAGAGAGAGAGAGAGAGAGACATCCACGGCTGCGGTGCAAGGTCTTAAGGCTAGTGCATGCTGCATCCTGCATCCTGAGTTGAAGTGTGAGTGGTGGCTATGTCTATTAACCGGCACATGTCAGGGTTTAGCTGTGAACAACGTGCTTTCACCGAGGCAGTTTGTAGAGTTTCTCCTGCCCCTTTTCCCAGAGAAGAAATCTGAGCTGCTAACATTCCGTAAATCTTTGAATTTCCTGTAAATTGCATGTTCCCACTGGCTGGGGCTGAAAATGTTTCAGGCGGTGGTGTTTCCTCATGGGTCTGCTCATGCTACCCAGCAGGCAGTTAGCGTCTCTGTCTGTGGTTTATGGTATGGTTGGGCCTTTCTCCACTAGGGTGGGAGGTGTGGGGCGCTGTTGCTGTGGGGTTTCAAGGTCAGTCTCTTTGTAGCAGGAGGTTAAGCAAGTCCCCATGCCCTGGTGGAAACTACCACCCCCCAGACCTGGTGGAAACTACCACCCCCCAGATGTGACCTTGACATTTCCTTCTGAAGAGGAGAGCCCCCCTGGGGAGGTAGGTGACTACTTTCCAGAGCTGCCAGCCTTGCTCCTGCATAAAGCGATTTCCATAGCCCTGGTGGACTTGAAACCCACTGTGTAGACCAGACTGGCCAGAACTGATATCTACCTACCTCTGTCTCATGTGTGCTGGGATTAAAGGCACATACCATTATGCTTGGCTACATTTATGATTTCTGTGTGTGTATGTGTGACAAATATAACGAGTTTTAGGCACAGATATTTCACTCTGATCTCTGGTGCTCATCTGGAACTAGGGAGGACTCTAATGAATTGAGCCCTTAGAGTGACCAACTGGTCCTAACATTACATGTTTCCTCACCTCCTGGATCTCCTGAGTTCTCAGGAAACTGTGATCTCTATGCTATCTTTGACACATGTTGTCGTCGTCATTGCAACCTTGTCTGCTGATGAGATACCCCCCAAACAATGTGCCTGGAAGTACCTGAAAACACACTGCTCCTGGGTATTGCATGGTTTGCACAAACAGTACTAAGTGCGAACTAGGTCCTTGTGCAAAGCTGGAATGTGCTCTGGTGTCTAGAGGGTATGAGTGTAGGCATGAACCAGCTACAAGGGACATAGAGATGGGAAAAACGAAGGAGCTGGATGTGAGCGCCTTGCAGTTTGGAGCACCTGGCCGGTGCCCATTCTACAGGTGCTGAGCAGAACACTTCGTAGCCTTACCTCATAGTATGTGATACCTCTGGGCCCTATGGTCCAAGTCCGCAGGGGTGTATTGGGCTGCAATAACAAAACACAAATAACGCAGGTTAGATGAGGCACAGATAAGGCTCCCAAAGACACCCTAGGCTCTTGTACACTTCTGCAAGTTACTGTGTGGGACAGGTAGCCGTGGAGGCTGAGACTCTGGAGTTTAGAATTGTGGTTTTCATGATCTTGAGACGCTGCTTTTTAAAATGTGTGTATGAGAAGCCAGAGAACATTGGCATGCAGAGTTGAGCCTGTGCGCTAGTTACTTCTCTTGCCGCCGTGACAAAAGGCCTGAGAAAAGCAGCTTACGGAAGGGTTCGTTTTGATTCACAGTTTGAGAATGCAGCCCCACCTGGCAGAGAAGACATTTTGGCAAGACGGCTTCTGGTTGGGTGGCAAGCATATAAGATGGCTGGTCACACTGCATCCACAGTTAGAGAGCAGGAGAAATGAATCCTGGCTTTCTGCTCGCTTCCTCCTTTTTGATTTAGTTCAGGGGCACCTGCCCGTTGGAAGGTGTTGCCGACATCCAGGGCATGTATTCCCTCCTGCATGAAACATGTCCCAAACACCCTCACAGACATGGCCAGAGGTTAGCTTCTTAGATGCTAAATCCCATCATGCTAGCAAGGCTATGACGCCTATGACTCGGGGCCATTAGGAATCTCTGAAAATGAGTCACGGGATTGATTCTCCTGGTCTAATGCCCCTGGCTTCAGCAACGGTTTTTGGAGACTGTCGTATGTCTCAGCCAGGTAGTGTTCTTCTGTAGAGCATCTTAAAGGACAGAGATGGTATCCAACATCGACAGAGACTGGGTTACTGCCACCAGGCTGAGGTGACATGTGTCCTCAGCCTGTAGCCTACCCTGGGAGGCTCTGAGGAAGGGAGTTGTGTTATCACTACAAAGCCACAGGTCAGGCCCACCCCAATCACTACCTGCCGTGCAACCCACAGTGGTGTCTCTTGTCCTCTGGGTAGCATTCTTATTCCTTGAGAGTGTCACCTCACCAGCCCTCCTTGGCTTGCCTTCCACACCCCCACCTTTTCTTCTGGCTTATGTGCTTCAAGATAGATTTCTTCGGGCCTTCCTCTCATGGGGGTCATGGAGCAACCGTGTGAATTTTGCCTGTTACTGTCCTTTTATGTGCCTGCCAGCTCTATTGGATGGACTTTGAGGATGGCCAGATGGCCAAATGAAAATATGGGTCATCCCCAGCTATTAAGGTGACAGACACATTGGGTCTCAGAAGGGCTTATTCTCTGTCTGGAGAGCCTGGTATGAGGTTACTTCTCAATGGATGAAAGTCACAAGTCACATTTGATTGTTCCACTAGTGAGATTTTGGAGACCACCAAGAATTGAATTGATTCTGCAGCAAGGAGTGAGGGTCTAAACTGGGCAGGGTAGGGAGCTCTAAGGTCAGATCTGGCCCTCGGAGAGTGTCTAGAGGGCTTGGGTGGGTCCTGTGCTGTGCTGGCCCAGGCTCTGCCTGTGGCTTCTCTGCCCGGGGTTGTCATGGGAATTAGATGAAATACACAGATGAAATATGCTGGGAGACTAGAGAGGGTCACAAGAATAAGAGCATAATCAGGGTTGCAGCCATCTCAAATAATAGAATCCTGACCCAGTAGGCCCCTCCAGAATATTTAGTATAGAATCACGCCCAGCAGAACCACTTCTCATCATGATGGGAGAGATCATTTAAGATGCGGTACAGAAAGATCTCTCATTTGAATAGTTACATAGATGTTACTATGCTTTATTTATATAAAAAAATACAAGCAGGCATCATATCAGACCTGTTTTTTTTTGAATGGATATTTTTCTCAGATTAATGCCACAGAAAAATTTTAGAGCCAGGTGTTATACTACAAGCCTGTAACCTCAGTACCTGAGGTAGAAACAGGAAGATCAGCTTAAAGTCATCCTAAGATACATAGCAAGTTTGAGGCCAGCTTTGGGCTACAAGAGACCGTCTGAAAAACTAACATGAGGACCAGTGAGATGACTCAGTAGGTCGAGACTCTTGCTGTCGAGCCTGCCGACCTGAGTTCAACCCTGGGTCTTACATAGTGAGAGGACAGGACTCACTCCTGCAGACAGTCCCCTGACTCCTGCGAGTCAGGACTGTCCTTCCGTCTGTGACAGCGTTGGCTTAAGCTGGACCCTTGTAGAGGTGGCACTCACTGCCTTCAGGTTACTCTGTTCCACTGGGAAATTTGCTCATCGTCTTAAAGTTCCTTCCTTTCACCCCTTACCCTGTTCCACACAAACCACTCAGTCATGTGTCTTATAGAATGGGCGGTTTTGCTTTCTTCAACTTCTTCTCAGTGGCTTGGTTTAAAGATATCCTATCTGCATGGCCATCTATCCATTCACCCACCTATCCATCTGTCTGCCCATCGGTCCACCTGCCCACCCATCTACCTGTCCATCTTCCCTTCAGCAAGGACCTATGCTTTGGCCGTGTCCTGTACACTTTGTATTTGCCATCCCTGAACCTCAGCACCGTCACTGGGTGCTGTTAGCCTTCTGTGCTTGTGGAAACCAGATTTCAGGAAGGCTAAGCAGCTCTCTGTCATCATGAGCTTAGAGATGCTGCACCAGAGAGGAGTCTGAGCACATTCTATTTCAAGCGTATGTGCGACTTCTGCCGCATCTGCTGTTCACAGAACCAGAGGACCACACAACCCAGTCTCCTCTCTGCTGGTGCTATGAGGTCTGATTCTGCATAATCAATCCCATGGGGCGGGGACCTTTTAAGGAGAGTGGTCGGAAGACCTTTTGCGTGAGAACACTGTATGCGGCAGAAACCTCAAAGGCAAACCTGTGGCT